GTCGTGCCATGCTGGCTGGGGGATTGCGTGGGAGTTGGCTTGTGGATGGGACGTAGGGGCGAAGCAGGCTGACGTGGAACGAGGGGCTGACGTACCAGTCAGCAGGGAGGAGGAGGTGGGCGGTGACGGGTGTTATCATGTGACTGATACGAAATGGCCCACAGTATCGGGGGCGGAGTTTGGGTGTGATGGGCAGTCGGAGGTTCTGGGTGTCGAGTAAAACTAGGTCTTCGGGCTGGTAAGTGGCAGGTCTACGGTGGCGGTCGGCGTTGCGTTTAGCGATGATGTTCGATTTTTTGATTGCGTCTGCTGCCCTGGTCCGTGCCGCTTGCAGAATTTTAGCAAACTGTTGCGCGCGTGGAACCGGGTTGTCGGGATTCGGGGTCATGGGTACTGTTGGGTCTTGTCCGTAATTCAGGTAAAACGGTGACTGTTGGGTCGTGGCGGATGGGGCGTTGTTGTATGCGAATTCGATGAGTGGCAGTTGTTGCTCCCACGTATTTGGATCGTCGCACGTGGCCCTGATGAGTTGCTCCATGGTTTGATTTGTCCGTTCTGTCTGTCCGTCTGTTTCGGGGTGATACGATGAACTAAACTGTAGTCGCGTGCCGAACTGCTGCCACAGGTTCCTGAGAAAACTGAAACGAGAATGAATGAACTATGAATGAAGTGGGTACAAGTACTAACCCTAATTGGGTTGTACCCCCTATGGGATACCCCACTACAGCCTACACAAAAGCATAAGCTATAATGTTCTGACACACCCCCATAGGCAAAGTGGGGGAGAACAGGGGGTCACAAGACCAGTTAAGCAAAGCAAAACAAAGCAAAGCTCAGGGTGGATCACAAAGTCACCACACATTCCGAGCACAAGTACAAGGCCACAAGGCCAGTTCACATGCAGGAGTACATATATATATATATATAAGGCTAGACAAGCAAGAGCAGGTATATATATATGTAACAGTACAAGCAAGATCAAGAGGTGAGCAAGTGAGGCAAGACAGGGACAAGACACAACTGAGTGCAGAAGCGCTAATGATCACAAGGCGGAAGTGCCTTGGTGAAAACATCAGCGGTGTTAGCCTCAGAGGCCACGTACGCAAGCCACAACTGTCCACGCTGCTGTAGCTCACGAGCAAGAAAGTAGCGGAGAGAAATGTGCTTTGTTCTGTGCTCCAGTCGCTGCTCTCGACACAAGGCCAGCATGGCCTTGTTGTCTACGTACACCACTGGAGGAGAACGAGGCGGCTCTCCGAGGTCAGTCAGCAGGTAGGTGAGCCAGAGAAGCTCCTGAGCAGCCATGACCCCAGCGCAGATCTCAGCCTCACAACTAGAGCCGAGAACAGAAGACGAGCGAGTAGCCCGCCACGAGACAGAGCCGGAACCAAGGCTGAAGGTGTAACCTTGTGACGACCGCTGCGTTGCCTGGTCGTCAGCCCAAGAAGCGTCTGCGTGCCCAGTAAGGACCACTGGACTGCGCCCTCCAAGCACTAGCCCCATGCCCGACGTACTGCACAAGTAGCGCAACACCCTCTTCGCTGCAGCCATGTGCTCTGGTCGGTGTCTCCCAGGAGCAACATAGCGTGCGAGAATGCTAAGAGGGTATGCAAGGTCAGGTCGTGTGCAGGTCATCAGGTACATGAGGCAACCAACAAGCTCTGAGTACAGGCCACTCGACTCTACGGACTCATCCGAAGGCAGAGCTGAGAGCGAGTGGCGAGTAGGCAGAGGACTGGCCTGAGGCGAGGAGTACGTGAAGCCGAAGCGCTGAAGGACCTGCTGCACCATGTGTGACTGAGTCAGGGTAATGGTGCGGCGTGCTCTGTCCCGGGTGATCTGCAAGCCAAGGTAGCTGCGCAGTTCACCCAGGTCTGTGCACGTGTGTCTCTTCTGCAGCTCGGACTTCACGTAGGCGAGTCCAGCAGTGTCAGTTGTGGCAAAGACCAAGTCGTCGACGTACACGAGGATGTACAACGGCGGCAGAGAGGTGTTGGTGCGTAGAAACAGCGACGGGTCGGCAGTAGAAGGAGCAAACCCAAGAGCCGCAAGTGTAGTCCTCAGTGTGTCTTGCCACTCACGTGGCGCCTAGCGGAGACCGTAAACTGGACGCCGGAGGCTCCACTGGGTACCAGGAGGAAACGACCCAGTGAAGCCAGGTGGGCGGCGCAGCCAGATCTCCTCGTGCAGGCTGCCGTGCAAGAAAGCTGTGCTGAAGTCGAGAGAGTGCAGCTCGTAGTCACGGTGAGCAGCAACGTGCAGCAGTACCCGAAGAGTGGTCATCTTCGGGGTGGGAGAGAAGGTCTGAAAGTAGTCAACTCCCTGCCGCTGACTGAAGCCACGAGCCACGTAACGTGCCTTGAAGATAGGCGGAGAACCCGGCGGCCGCTTCACTCTGAAGATCCACATGCCACTGACGATGTTCGCCCCAGGAGGGGGAACGGCGTCAACGTAGGTGCCTCTGGACTTCCAGGAAGCCTTCTCTGCGTCCATAGCTGCCTGCCACTGAGAGGAGTAGGGACCCTCTATCGCCTCCGCGTAAGAGCGCGGAGTCGGGATGTCAAGTGCATCCGGGTCTCCCTCAGGGGTAAGCAGTACGGACACGAGATGAGGTGAAGCAGCGGCCAAGTAGTGGAACTCCTCCTGTCTGTCCTCAAGAACGTCCGTGCCAAGGGCACACTCACCCCCGACGGACGAAGGACAGACAGACTCAGACTCAGCAACAAGACTGGCAGTGTAGTCTAGACGACAGCGAGCAGCAAAGTCGACGAGCTCAGCAACTAGGGCAGACGCAGCAGTGGACTCAAAGGAAGGGTCAGTGACAACAGTAGCAAGGAGACGCGTGACAGTAGGACTGGCAGCACGAAGAGAGTCCGACTCTGGGTCGGCAAGAGCAGGAAGAGAAGACTCAGGAGGAGAAGGCAAGAGGGCACGCAGAGGAGCAGTGGATGGACGCAGAGACATCCGGTGCGTGCCAGGGACAGGAGGAGGACGTTGATGCGAACCGCGACCACTAGTGCGAGCAGCACGGACAGGCGACGCAGGGCGAGACGCAGGCTCACGACGCTCAGCAAGACCTCTAGTAGGACCAGTGTAAGGAGACGGAGCAGGCAGTGGGGAGGCCGGCTGTAACTGTAACTGTGACGGGACAGGCTGTGGACACTCTAAGGGAGGAGGAGGACTAGTAGAAGGCGGGAGACCAAGAACGTGCTGAAGGAGCGGAACGAAGTACGACCGAGGCCGCGCGGCGACTCCAGACACAGCAGGGACAGTACCAGTACCCCCAGCGGCAGCACCAACACCAGCAGCACCTCCAGCTCCAGTACCTCCAGCAGTACCAGTAGCACCCTCAGCAAGACCGCCTCCAGGACCGACAGCAGTAGCCTCCGTGCCAGCACCCGAAGCAACTCCCGCTCCAGAAGTACCCGCAGGCCCAGCAGCTCCAGTACTCCGAGTACGAGCACCGCCGGGACCCGCAGCACCAGCACCCATAGCAGCAGCAGAACCTCCAGTACCCGCAGCACCTCCAGCTCCAGCAGCTCGCCTCCAGCGCCGGGCAAACCACTCACGCAGCTCCATTGGAGAGAGTGGCTCCCGGCGAGACGAAGCAACCGGAGAACCGCCAGGCTCAGCACCGCCAGACGCCCCACGAGCAGGCTCAGCTCCCTCAGGCTCAGCACCTCCAGGCGTAGCACCCCCAGGCTCAGTACCCCCAGGCTCAGCACCCCCAGGCGTAGCACCCCCAGGCTCAGCACCCCCAGGCTCAGCACCCCTAGTCGTAGTACCCACACGCTCAGCACCCCCAGAGTCAACACCCCCAGAGTCAGCACCCTTAGGCTAAGCACCCTCAGCAGCACCAGATTCACCAGCGACCTCGACAGGCTGGACAGCGTCTACCTGGGACACACCTGAAGGGGCAGGACCCTGAGGGGGGAGGGGGTCTACCGGGGGGGGACCTGACACAAGGAAGAGCGGTGGCGGGGGGAGGGACGGAGTGCGGTAGGGGAAGAGACGGTAGTAGGGGACCGACTCGTCGAACATGACGTCCTGGGAGGACAGAACACAGCGAGAGGTGGGGTGGTAGAACTGCCACCCTGGCGCGTCAGGGGGGAAACCCAGGAAGACGCAAGGAGTAGCACGAGGGGACAGCTTGTCCGCAGACAAGTCGCGAACAAACGCCCGAGATCCCCAGACACGGAACGCAGACGCATCGCCAACCTTCCCCGTCCACAGCAAGGCTGGGGAGGTCTCCGGCATGGAGACCCTGGGCTGAAGGTTGATCAGATGCGCCGCGTACCGGACCGCAAACGGCCACAGAAAATGGGGGGCAGCCGCATGCATCATGGACGTACGGGCGACGTCCATGACCATGCCAATGCGGCGCTCAGCAATCCCATTTTGCTGTGGAGAGTCCGGAAGCGTGAAGGTCTGGCGGATGCCTCGTGCACGACAGTAGGCTCGCAGAAGGCCAGAGGAGAACTCTCCGCCTCGGTCAAAGTGCAGACGCAGAACAGGAAAGTCCGAGCCGAAGCTCCGCCTGAGCTGGAGACGAGCTGCGCGGATCCAGTCAATCAACACCTCAGTGATATCACCCTTGCTGCGCAAGGGGAAGACTGTGGTGAAACGCGAGTAGTCGTCAACCACCAGCAAGAAGTAGCGCTCGTGACCCTGTCCACGGACGCGGGCCGGGCCCCACACGTCCATGTGAAGCGTCTGCAGCGGGGCCTTTGTCGGAGGAAACTGGGAGGAGTGAGGGGCAGCCCGCTGCCGCCCCTCGATCCAGGGGACGCAGGTAGGGCCAGGCCCCGGAGGAAGGGGAGGGAGGGACCGGGGAAGACCAGAGACAAGGACACGGGAGGCCGTGCCTCGGAGACGAAGCAGGGAGGGGTGACCAAGGCGGTGGTGCCTGAGGAGAGTCTCGTGAGACAGGAGGCGACACGAGCAGGGGGCAGACTCAGGACCAGACCTGGACGCTACAGCAAACACCTGACCCGATGCAGCTACCTGACCAGACGCAGGGACTGGAGGAGACGCAGTGGTCAGCGTGTACAGGCTCGACCCCGGCCGACGTGTAAACGTGGCCAGGTGTCGGCCTGTCCGAGCGTCCGTGCAGTGGGTCACCCGCTGACTCGCAGGAGTGAGCCGGTGAACCCCCGCATCCTGCAGGTCAGCACCACTCATCAAGTTCATAGAGAACGAGGGGAGGTAAAGACCAGACAGGGTGCCAGAGGGGGCCGCCGAACACGGGAGGACAGTGGAAAAGTGAGCAAGGACAGGGCCCCCAGAGGGGTCTGCCAAGGAGACTGCAACTGGTCGACCAAGCGGCGTGAGTGTGGTGCGGTCTCGAAAGAAGGAGCGGGAAGCCCCCGAGTCAAGGGTGAAGGTGTGAGAGGCCGGAGCCGACGCGGTACCTGAGAGAGCAGACTCACCCGCACCTGAAGAAGGAGACTCACTAGCACCTAAAGCAGGAGCCGCACCTGTACCTGGAGCAGGGTTGAGAGTGAGAGTGAGTGGCGAGTAGGGAGAGGACTGGCATGAGGCGAGGAGTACGTGAAGCCAAAGCGCTGAAGGACCTGCTGCACCATGTGTGACTGAGTCAGGGTAATGGTGCGGCGTGCTCTGTCCCGGGTGATCTGCAAGCCAAGGTAGCTGCGCAGTTCACCCAGGTCTGTAAACGTGTGTCGCTTCTGCAGCTCGGACTTCACGTAGGCGAGTCCAGCAGTGTCAGCTGTGGCAAAGACCAAGTCGTCGACGTACACGAGGATGTAGAACGGCGGCAGAGAGGTGTCGGTGCGCAGAAACAGCGACGGGTCGGCAGTAGAAGGAGCAAACCCAAGAGCCGCAAGTGTAGTCCTCAGTGTGTCGTGCCACTCACGTGGCGCCTGGCGGAGACCGTAGATTGGACGCCGGAGACTCCACTGGGTACCAGGAGGGAAAGACCCAGTGAAGCCAGGTGGGCGGCGCAGCCAGATCTCCTTGTGGAGGCTGCCCTGCAAGAAAGCTGTGCTGAAGTCGAGAGAGTGGAGCTCGTAGTCACGGTGAGCAGCAATGTGCAGCAGTACCCGAAGAGTGGTCATCTTCGGGGTGGGGGAGAAGGTCTAAAAGTAGTCAACTCCCTGCCGCTGACTGAAGCCACGAGCCACGTAACGCGCCTTGAAGACAGGCGGAGAACCCGGCGGCCGCTTCACCCTGAAGATCCACATGCCACTGACGATGTTCGCCCCAGGAGGGGGGACAGCGTCAACGTAGGTGCCTGTGGACTTCCAGGAAGCCATCTCTGCATCCATAGCTGCCTGCCACAGAGAGGAGTAGGGACCCTCTATCGCCTCCGCGTAAGAGCGCGGAGTCGGGATGTCAAGTGCATCCGGGTCTCCCTCAGGGGTAAGCAGTACGGACACGAGATGAGGTGAAGCAGCTGCCAGACACTGGAACTCCTCCTGCCTGTCCTCAAGGACGTCCATGCCAAGGGCACACTCACCCCCGACGGATGGAGGACAGACAGACTCAGACTCAGCAACAAGACTAGCAGCGTAGTCTAAGCGACAGCGAGCAGCAAAGTCGACGAGCTCAGTAACGAGAGCAGACGCAGCAGTAGACTCGAAAGAAGGGTCAGTGACAACAGTAGCAAGGAGACGCGTGACAGTAGGACTGGCAGCATGAAGAGAGTCCGACTCAGGGTCGGCAAGTGCAGGAAGAGAGGACGCAGGAGGGGAAGGCAAAGGGGCACGCAGAGGAGCAGTAGACGGACGCAGAGACATCGGGTGCATGCCAGGGACAGGAGGAGGACGCTGGCGCGAACCGCGACCACTAGCGCGAGCAGCACGGACAGGCGACGCAGGGCGAGACGCAGGCTCACGATGTCAGTAAGACCTCCAGTAGGACCAGCGTAGGGAGAAGGAGCAGGCAGAGGGGAGGCAGGCTGTAGCTGTGACTGTGACGGGACAGGCTGTGGACACTCTAAGGGAGGAGGAGGACCAGTAGAAGGAGGAAGACCAAGAACCTGCTGCAGGAGTGGAACAAAGTACGGTCGAGGCCGCGTGAGGACGCCCGAAGCAGCAGGGACAACACCAGTACCCTCAGCAGGAGCACCCGCTCCAGCAGCACCTCCAGCAGCACCAGGAGCACCCCCAGTAGGACCGCCAGCGGTAGTCTCAGCGCCAACTCCCTCAGCAGCACCAGCTCCAGTCGAACCCGTAGGCCCAGCAGTTCCAGTACTCCCAGTACGAGCACCTCCGGGAACCGCGACCGCAGCACCCTCAGCAGCCGAAGAACCTCCAGCACCAGCAGTACGGCGCCAGCGCCGGGCAAACCACTCGCGCACCTCCTGTGGAGAGAGTGGCTCCCGGCGAGAAGAAGCACCCGGAGAACCTCCAGGCGGAGCACCTCCACTCCCAGCACCCCCAGGCGTAGCACCTCCAGGCTCAGCACCCCCAGGCGTAGCACCTCCAGGCTCAGCACCCCCAGGCGTAGCACCCCCAAGCTCAGCACCCCCAGGCTCAGCACCCCCAGGCTCAGTACCCCCAGGCTCACCACCCCAAGATGCAGTACCCCCAGGCTCAGCACCCCCAGACTCCGCACCCCCAGGTCGAGCACCCCCAGGCTCAGCACCCCTAGCAGCACCAGAGTCACCAGTGACCTCGACAGGCTCGACTGCGTCTACCTGGGACACACCTGAAGGGGCACGACCCTGAGGGGGGAGGGAGTCTACCTGGGGGGGACCTGGTACAAGGAAGAGCGGGGGTGGGGGGAGGGACGGAGTGCGGTAGGGGAAGAGGCGGTAGTAGGGGACCGACTCGTCAAACGTGACGTCCTGGGAGGACAGAACACGTCGAGAGGTGGGGTGGTAAAACTGCCACCCAGGCGCGTCAGGGGGGAACCCCAGGAAGACGCAAGGAGCAGCACGAGGGGACAGCTTGTCCGCAGACAAGTCGCGGACAAACGCCCGAGATCCCCAAACCCAGAACGCCGACGCATCGCCAACCTTCCCCGTCCACAGTAAGGCTGGGGAGGTCTCCGGCCTGGAGACCCTGGGGTGGAGGTTGATCTGATGCGCTGCGTACCTGACCGCAAACGGCCACAGAAAATGGGGGGCAGCCGCATGCATCATAGACGTACGAGCGACGTCCATGACCATGCCAATGCGGCGCTCAGCAATCCCATTTCGCTGCGGTGAGTCCGGAAGCGTGAAGGTCTGACGGATGCCTCGTGCGCGACAGTAGGCTCGCAGTAGGCCAGAGGAAAACTCTCCGCCTCTGTCAGAGTGCAGACGCATAACAGGGAAGTCCGAGCCAAAGCTCGGCCTGAGCTGGAGACGAGCCGCGCTGATCCAGTCGATCAGCACCTCAGTGACATCACCCTTGCTGCGCAAGGGGAAGACCGTGGTGTAACGCGAGTAGTCGTCAACAACGAGCAGGAAGTAGCGCTCGTGACCCTGTCCACGGACGCGGGCCGGGCCCCACACGTCCATGTGAAGCGTCTGCAACGGGGCCTCTGTCGGAGGAAACTGGGAGGAGTGAGGGGCAGCCCGCTGGCGCCCCTCGACACAGGGGACACAGGCAGGGCCAGGGCCCTGAGGAAGGGGAGGGAGGGACCGGGGGAGACCAGACACAAGAAGAAGGGAGGCCATGCCTCTGAGCCGAAGCAGAGAGGGGTGACCAAGACGGTGGTGCCAGAGGAGAGTCTCATGAGACAAGAGACGACACGAACAGGGGGCAGACTCAGGACCAGACCTAGACGCTGCAGCAAACACCTGATCGGACGAAGCGACTCTACCAGACTCAGTAACGGGAGGAGACGCAGTGGTCAGTGTGTATAGGCTCGACCCCGGCTGATGGGTAAAGGTAGCCAGGTGCCGGCTTGTGCTAGCCTCTGTACATTGGGTCACCCGCTGACGCGCAGGAGTGAACTGGTGTACTCCCCCATCCTGTAGGTCAGCACCACTCACCAGGTTCGTCGAGAACGAGGGGAGGTAGAGACCAGACCGGGTGCCAGAGGGAGCCGCCGGACACGGGAGGACTGTGGAGAAGCGAGACAGTACAGGACCCCCGGAGGGGTCAGCCAGAGACACCGCAACCGGCCGACCAAGCGGCGTGAGTGTGGTGCAGTCCCGAAAGAAGGAGCAAGACGCCCTAGAGTCAAGAGTGAAGGTGAGGGAGGCCAAAGCCGACGTAGTACCTGAGAGCGCAGACTCACCAGTACCTGAGGACGCAGACACACTAGCACCTAGAGCAGCAGCGTCGCAAGCTCCTAGGGCAGCAGCCTCAATGCCCGGATCGGGCGGGAAACAGCGGTAGCAGTCACCCTCATCACTATGAGACACAGCATACATGGCAGAGAGAATAGCATCAAAGTCAAGATCAAAGATGGCAACACCCGCCCTAGACAGCTCGCCCTAGCAAGGAATCTCTGAGGCCTCCGGGAACTTGTGACGCCACGCGTCCGTCAGGCGGCCAAAGCAGCGCTGGGTGGGGTGCGGACCCCCACACTGCTCACCCGCACGGTCGCCGGTGCGCAGGACATAGGTGCACGGACCAAAACCCCCACCCCGCTGGCGTGCAGTGTACCACTCACGGAGCTGCTGAGGGGACAGGGTCTCACGATCGCGCTGCTGCTGCTGGCGCGCGCCACTACCGGAGCCACTCCTCTGCGAAGGCCCGCGACCAGCTCCACCGCCACCCCCACCGCCTCGGCCGCCTCCGCTACTGCCGCCGCCTCCACCGCCGCCTCCACCGCCGCCTCCACCGCCACCTCCGCTCCCACCGCCACCGCCGTCGCCGCCTCCGCCTACACCGCCGCCACCGACCCCCCCACCCGCACCTCCACTCCCACCGCCACCCCCACTACCCCCACCGCCTCCACCTCCACCTCCACCGCCCGCTCCTCCAGCTCCCTTGCCCCCCTTGCCCTTGCCAGGGCGGCGTCTCCCGCTAGGGGCAGACGCCGCACCGATAGACTCAAGACCAAGGAGGTCGGCCGTAGCAGCAGAGGCAATAGAGGGCAGCAGGGGGGAGGGGGAACACCCCTCAAAGATGGGAGTGCGCGGGTCACCTCGAGAGGCTCCTACAGCGACTATACTCTTCTCCGCTGCTAAGAGAGCCTTCTCGAGGAGATCGACAGTGAGTGTGGTGGGACAGACTGAGAGAAAGTGGTCCCTGACTACTCGAAGAGAGTCAGGGAGGCGAGTGACTAGGAAGTACAGAGTGATGTACATGGGGGGGGGGTTCGCGGTGCAGAAGTCAGCAGGAAGTGCAGCGCGGTAGCGAGTGTCACTAGTGCGGAGGTGTGTAATGAGGTCAGCAACGGTGGGAAAGGCAGCAAGGTCAGGGAAGAGGTACGGTAGCATAAGACGGCTCAGTGCAGCAGTGGCAGGGGAGGAGTAGCGCGCGACTACAGCGTCGTACAAGGTCTGAGCACTCTTGTACTGATTAAAGTGCGCACGCTTGGAGGTAGGGAGGTGGTGACGCACAGCAAGACGTGCAGCAGCATCGCGCGTGGCCCACTGGGAGCGAACAGTGGCGTCAGCATCAGCAGCAGGGGCAGGGGAAGCGCCAGAGGTAAGGTCAAAGAGAGAGAGGCCGTCCGCCCTATCGCACTGTAAGAACAGCTGTAGGTCATCTACCCAGACCTCAAAGTCAATGGCCCGACCCTCAGCGTCAAAAGCGAGGACACTAGGGGTAGCCATGACAGTAGGAGACCAGCAGTGCAAGCAGTAGGGGAAGGGCACGCAGTGACAGAGGGTCTGTGCTCACCGAACAGGGCTGCTCGGGCGGCTCGGCTGCAGGGCGGCTCGGCAGGTGGGCGGCTCGGCGGCTGGGCGGCTCGGCAGCTGGGCAGCTCGGCAGCTGGGCGGTCGGCTGCACGGCGGCTCGGCTGGTGGGCGGCCGGGCGGCTCGGCTGCAGCGCGGCTCGGCGGCGGGGCGGCTCGGCTGCTCTGCTGCTGCTGCTGCTGGGCGGCTCGGCTGGGCCGCTGAAGTAGGGCGGCGGGGCCGCTGCAGAGGAGCGGCGGGGCCGCTGCAGAGAGGGCGGCGGGGCCGCTAGATAGGGCGGCGGGGCCGCTGCAGAGAAGCGGCGGGGCCGCTGCAGAAGGACGACGGGGCCGCTGGGTAGGGCAGCGGGGCCGCTGCAGAGGAGCGGCGGGGCCGCTGCAGAAGGGCGGCGGGGCCGCTGGGTAGGTCGGCGGGGCCGCGAGATAGGGCGGTGGGGCTGCGTGGTAGAGTGGCGGGGCTGCAAGGTAGGGCGGCGGGGCCGCGAGGTAGAGTGGCGGGGCCGCGCGATGGGGCGGGGGGGGCCGCGAGGAAGGGCGGCGGGGCCGCTAGGTAGGGCGACGGGGCCGCGCGATGGGGCGGCGGGGCCGCGAGGAAGGGCGGCGGGGCCGCTAGGTAGGGCGGCGGGGCCGCGCGAAGGGGAGGCGGGGCCGCGATGGGGCGGCAGGGCCGCGCGATGGGGGGGGGGGGGGGGGGGCGGGGCCGCGAGTAAGGGCGGCGGGGCCGCAAGGTAGGGCGGTGGGGCCGCGCAATGTGGCGGCGAGGCCGCGAGGTAGGGCGGCGGGGCCGCTAGGTAGGGCGGCGGGGCCGCTAGGTAGGGCGGCAGGGCCGCTAGGGCGGCTTGACGCGACCGTAAGGGTGGCACGACGGGCCGCTAGAAAAAAAAAAGGGAGAGCGCGACTCGAGGCGCGCTTCGGTGGGCCCTAGGAACAGTCCCTAGGAGGGGACCTGCTCTGATTCCATGTGAGAATGAGAACGAGAGAATGATGTGAACTATGAATGAAGCGAGTACAAATATGAAACCCTAGTTGGGTTGTACACCCTATGGGATACCCCACTATAGCCTACACAATAGCATAAACTATAATGTTCGGACATAAGCAACTCCACCCAGTCGGGGAGCTCAGCCTCGTCGCCAAACTCGGTACGCCAGGCGTTGCTCAAACGGGCAAAGCAGCGTGACTGTGTGTGACTAGGCGTCCCACAAGGCTGACCAGTCCGAGCACCAGTGCGAATCACGTAAGAGCAGCGAACAGAACTGAGAGACCCTCCACTCTGAGCGTACCACTCACGAAGCTGCTGGGGCGTGAGAGACGCGCGTGGGGGTCGCTGGAGCTGCATCTGGCCGCCGCCAGTAGTAGTAGCAGTAGTAGCGCCACCACCCCTACAACCCCAACCAGCGTACCACTCACGCAGCTGCTGGGGCGTGAGGGACTCACGCGGATGTCGCTGGGGCTGCATCTGGCTCCGCGAGTAGAAGCAGGAGCAGGAGTAGCAGCAGTAAGGCAGGCAGCCAAGCAAGCGGCAGGCAGCGCGCTAGTAAGGCAAGGGCTCACCAGTGGTGGGAAGAGCAGGCTCGACGACTCGGCAACTCGGCGGTGCGGGCGGCTCGGGCGGCTCGGCGGCACGGCGGCACTGCAGCAACTGCGGCTCGGCGGCTCGGGCGACTCGGGCGACTCAGCGATACGGCGGCTCGGCAGCAACTGCAGCGCGGCGGCTCGGCGACTCGGCGGCTCGGGCGGCTGAGGTGGCGCTGCGGCTCGGGCGGCTCGGGTGGCTCGGCACTAGCTCGACGGCGCCGGCGGCTCGGTGGTGACGGCGGGGCCGCTTGGGGACGGCGGCGGGGTCGGGTGGAGCGGCGACGGGGCCAGTAGAGGTGGCGCCGGGGCCGCAGGGTAGGCGTCCGGGCCAGCAGAGGCGGCGCCGGGGCCAGCAGAGGTAGCGCCGGGGCCGGGAAGGGCAGCGCCGGGGCCGCAGGGGTAGGCGACGGGGCCAGTAGAGGCGGGGCCGGGTCGGGAAGAGCGGCGTTGGGGTCGCCGGGGTAGGCGACGGGGCCAGCCGAGGTGGCGCCGGGGCCTGGAAGGGCGGAGCCGGGGCCGTAGGGGCAGGCGACGGGGCCAGCAGAGGCGGGGCCGGGCCGGGAAGGGCGGCGTCGGGGTCGCCGGGGTAGGCGACGGGGCCAGCCGAGGTGGCGCCGGGGCCGGGAAGGGCGGAGCCGGGGCCGGGAAGGGCGGCGCTGAGGCCGCAGAGGTAGGTGACGAGGCCACTAGGGCGGCAGATCGGGGCCGCGAGGGCGGCGCGACGCGGCCGCTAGGGCGGCGCAACGGGGTAGCGGGGCCGCGCGCCTCGGGGCGCGCGCCAGAAAGAAAATCGCCGCGCGCCAAAATAGGTCGCACGCCACGGGGCGTGCGACAGATCGAGTAGCAGCGGAAGCAGTAGTAGGGCCCTAGGAACAGTTCCCACAAGGGAACCTGCTCGATACCATGAGAAAACTGAAACGAGAATGAATGAACTATGAATGAAGTGGGTACAAGTACTAACCCTAATTGGGTTGTACCCCCTATGTGATACCCCACTACAGCCTACAAAAAAGCATAAGCTATAATGTTCTGACAGTTCCGCCAGAAGTTGCTGGTAAACTTCGTGTCTCTGTCGCTGATGTTTGATGCTGGTATCCCGTGCAGTCGAACGACGGTAGAGATGAAGAGGCGGGCTGTTTCTTCGGCTGTGATTGATTTCTTGCAGGCTGCGAAGTGTGCCATTTTCGTCAGTCGATCAACGACGACCAGGATCGCGTCATTCCCACTCGCTCCGGCTGGTAACCCCGTGACGAAGTCCATCGTCACCTGCTGCCAAGCACGCTCTGGGGGTGGGATTGGTTGCAACTGTCCCGCCGGCCGCTTCCGGGTTGACTTCATGATCTGGCAAGTGGGACACGATGCCACGTGTCGCTGTACGCCGGTCAACATTTCGGGCCAATAATAATACCGCTGCAGCTGCTGCCGTGTTTTTTCTACTCCGAAATGTCCCGAGGTAACTCCGTCATGTGCCTCCTATAACAGTAATTCCCGTAGTAGTGTGTACCCTGGTACCCAGATGCGTTCGGTCCCAGCTTTTACATAATAGACTCCCTTGGCTGCTACGAATTGCTGCGAGTTTCCTCCTGTGAAGAATGGGTCCGTTTGGTATCCGTGGGTAAATAGTCCTGTCAGTAGCGGGCTGGTCTGGGCCAGTAGTATCGCATGGATCTGGGCAGTGGGGCGGGTCAGTGCGTCGGCGATATTCGAGGCTCCTTTTTTATAGGTGACTGTGTAGTGGAAATTTGACTCGAGGAAATCGAGCCACCGAATCTGTCGTGGGTTGAGGTGGGGCTGTGCGCGGAGGTATTGTAGGGATCGGTGGTCTGTCCGTACTGTTACGTCTGCGCCGGTCAAGTAGCAGCGCCACACTTTGAATGCATGCACGATCGCGAGCATTTCGCGGTCGTGTATCGGGTAATTTCGTTCGGGCGGATGCAGTTTTCGTGATTCGTATGCCATGGGCTGTAGGCCGTTGCCGAAGTCCTGCAATAGTACGGGTCCAATGGCGATGTCGCTTGCGTCTGTAACAACTTCGAAGGGGCGATGTGGGTCAGCGATGCGCAGGACGGGTGGTGAACAGAGAACATTTTTCAGGGCAGAGAAGGCAGCATGCTCTTTCTCCCCCCACGTAAAAACGACCCCCTTGCGTAGTAAGTCTGTCAGCGGGGCAGTCAATCGTGCCATGTCGGGGACGAACCGACGAACATAATTAACGAACCATAAAAAACTCTGCAGTTCCGTGATGTTCGTCGGGGGACGCCACGCTTTGACCGTATCCAACTTCTTGGGGTCGATTTCAACTCCAGCCTCCGAAATAACGTGCCCTAAAAATTCTAGCCTGTCCCGAAAAAACTCGCACTTAGACCCTTTGGTGAGTAGCCGATGTTCCTCTAAAATTTTAAACACTGCTACGAGATCTACTAAGTGCTGCTGCTTGTCGCGACTGTAAACGAGGATGTCGTCGAGGTAGACGATCACGCATTTATCTAAGAGTGGCCTAATCGCCTCGTTCATGGTCATCTGAAATGTTGCGGGCGCGTTGGTCAGCCCAAAAGGCATTACCGTGTACTCGAACGACCCGTATCTAGTCCTAAATGCTGTCTTGGCGCAGTTCGACGGTTCGACCCTAATCTGATGGTAACCCCCCCGTAAGTCTATTTTCGAAAATACCTGTGCTGTTCGCAGTTGGTTGATCAGTTCGTCGGCGTGGGGAATGGGGTACCGCGATTTGACTGTTACCCTGTTAAGCGCTCGGTAATCGATGCACATGCGAAACCCTCCGTCTTTTTTTGGTGTGAACAGGATCGGTGCGGCGAACGGTGACGAGCTTGGCCGGATAAACTGCTTCTCTAACAAATAATCTAACTGCTTCCTCAGTTCGTCAAGCTCGGGCTGTGTCAGCCTGAACTGGCGCTGTACAGTTGGCGGTGCCCCCGGTTCTAACTCGATCCTATGGTCATGCGCCCGCTGAGGTGGCAGCCCTTGCGGTAAGTCGTCTGGAAAAATCCCCAGGTACCGTTTCAACAGTTCCTGAAGTTCGGGCGGTACTGCTGCCAACAGTTTCTGAAAATCGCTCGGCTGCTCCTCTTCTTCCACTAATGCTATATCCACTGCGTACACGTCAGCTCCAGCGGCGACAACCCGTTTCATTGTGATGGCGTTGACGTGGACCGTTGAAGACTCGGGTGATCGCCAGCGAGGTAGTTCGACCCAGTTACCACTACTTCGCACGGTGCAGCTACCCGTCGTCCAGTCAATTCGCGGGTTATACTGTCGCAGCCAATCACGCCCCAATAAAATATCGTGCCCATCCAGTGTCGTTGCGAGCATTTCCTGTG